TCTTAGGCTCCATCAACAGCAGTGTCAAAATCAAGAAAAATCATTATTCCTTTCCATCCTGCATCTAAAATATTGCTCAGACCTCACCTATAATATTGTGTCCACTTCCGTGCACCAAATTTTAGGAAGGATGTTGATAAACTGGAAGGTATCCAAAGAAGAACAACCTGGAAAGAAAAATTTATGAGGAACAGTTGAAGCTGTTGGATATATTTAGCTTGGAAAAGACTGTGGAGAGACAGGGTAGCTGTCTTCAAGAAGATAAGGCACAATTCTTCGAAGATGTTTCAGAAAAGAAAAAAATGACTTAAATTACAAGGAAGTAAATTCCAATTGGGTATCAGGAAAACTCTAATGGTACGAGCTGTTTTCCCCAAAATCTTCCTTGAGAAAGGGTGTACTCTTCTTTGCTGGAGATGTTTAAGCATCCCATTGGGGATGACATAGCGATGAATTCCTGGTACATTCTGTTATTCACCAGTTCAAATTGTTTTGGGTGATTTTGAGCTGGAGAATAGGTTCCACGGAATATCTAAGAAAGCAAGCCAATAATATATAATTATCATCCTGTACACTGTTAAATATGTGCATTACGGACAGCAAAATGATAATATTATAGATATCTCAGCTACTACTACCAACCAAAGAAAAAGCAATGTTGGCCATAATCAGGAAGATTATAGTATGAATGTTTTCAGCCTATTATAATGATTTCATGTACCCCTTGTGTGCATTTTTTTTAAAATCAGGCTAAGTTAGGATAACCATCAGTTCAGGTTCCCTGTACAAAGCAAAAGCTGTTGATAAAGGTAATATATCTCTTACAATATTTGTTTTTGGTTCTAAAACATCTGGAGAAATTAAAGTCAATATTACTTTTTGCAAGTGATAGCAGCAGCTACAAAAGCAGACAGGAGATGTTATTGATTGTTCAGGATATTCAGACCACCCTTTATATTCTATTCTTTGGAACAAGAAAAAGTGATTTTCCAAGCCAGGCAGAACACTATTTTAGTGTAGAGTCTAGACCAGGGGTGTCAAACTCAAGGCCCGGGGGCCGGATCTGGCCCCCGGGGTACTTACTGTAGATATGTTCCACCGGGCTGCCCTGGAAACAGCGAAGGACCGGCCCACAATGCTTCTCCCAGCGAAAATGGACTCCTGAGCTCCCTTTTTGGCTGCGATGGCCTCCTGCAACCCTCTGCCAGTGAAAATGGAGCTTGTGGGGGCACATGAGGGCCTCCCGAGCTCTGTTTTTACTGGCAGAGGGTTGCAGGATACCGTGGCAGCCGAAAACGGAGCTCAGGAGCCTGTTTTCACTGGCAGAGCTCTCGAGCCCTCTCAGGCGCCCCCGACAGGAGTGACATCGAGCTGGCCATGCCCCACCCTGAGGTCAAACACAACCCTGATGAGGCCTTCAACACAATCGAGTTTGACACCCCTGGTCTAGACTGACAACCAATAATGGTAAAGAAAGAACATTATTTTATATATACAGCAACATTGTGCATTGTTATGACAAAGTCACAAAGACTAATACGTCCACAAAAAGAAAAAAAAATCCAATTCTACTTTTATCTGTGTTAAATTCTTAAACTTCCATTTTAGATCCACATACAAAGATTAATATACAGATATTTGTTGGAAAACCAAACAATTTGAGATTATGCTTTGAAAGAATCGCATAAAAATGTTACCTACAAAGGACTCCTTTTCTGATTAGGGCAGATTGATATTTTCCTCTAGCCTATCTGCAGTAGAGGGGGAAAATACAATCCTATCTCTGGTGTTAAAAGTTAATGTCAGAAAGCGGAATTCTTCGACCCAAACAAGCTTTACAAAGGTGGTATAGTGGGCTAAGCCAAATGAATAAAATGTTTTTCAAACAGGTCAATGGATCATACAAAACATTCTTCCAATATGTTAGATCTGATCACAGCTCAGCAATAATCCTCAATGCATGAGTAATAAACAACAATTGGGGAACAAAGAAAATGAAGCCAAAAGAAATATCTAAAGATGTTCAGATGTGTTTATCTCTGCCTATCTGGTTCTCTTTTGTACACATGAATTTTCACATGAACAATCAGACTCTGTTTTTATGGAAGTGTTTGGCACAAGACAGTCAAATGTGGAAAGTCAGCCAGATTATTTTGTGCTACACAATTCAATGGGATAGTTTTTGGCATGGGGTGAAAAATCTTAAATAAGGATTCATAATGTACTTTCAAACTTTTTTCAGCTTCTTATAGGAGTCATCTCCTATAAGAGTTCTTCCAAAGTTCTTACAACTTCCAAAATTCTAGACACTTTCACAACGTAAGTGACACATTGGAACACAAATCAAACATCCAACTTAAAATTTATCTTACAATATTATGAACATTTGGGGTCTTGGATAGCTTTTTTAAAGTATTGTTAAGGAACACTTTTTATTTTGAACAAATTGTTAGTCTTTTTTTGTGATCCCTGTTCTTATCTTATGGTACATATATGCTTT